AAAAATGGTGACGTGTTCATAGTGTATATGTTGTGTATATATTTTGTTTTTTATGTGTATAAAATTTTTGGTTTTAAATGAAATGAATGAACAATTTAAACTAAACTAACTCAGAGTGCATAAAGTGCATAAGTATAACAAAGTTTGTGCATACTGGGTTCATCAGTTGATGACATCACTGATTTACAGGCTGTGTCTTAATTTTGGGGTTGCATCCTAATGAGAGYCCATTTTATCAGCTGCATATGTCTCTGCCCTGCGCCGAGTGCTGTACCAATTTGAAGGCTCCTCCGAGGAATGCAGCCCACAAAATCTTGAAAATCAAGGATGCATCCGAGTATCCTTCCCAGCCGAGGTTATRCCAGGATTTAGTACACAGACAGCAAATTAGAGAAACGAAGACGGCTGAGTTTTTACTTTATTTTATTTTTTAACATGTTGGTGCAGTTTGGAAATTCATCACAAGCCAAATAATTCTTTAAATGTAAGTTTAACAGCTTAGCTGAGGAAACTCATGCTGCAATAAGATGCTAAATAAAATACAGCTACAAGTACTGATACTGGAGCTAAACCCAAATTATTATTATTTTTCTTTTTGTTTATGTGAAACGTTTAATTGTGAAGTGATTACACAAAGTGAAAATATATACAAATACACATCTCAATGCATTTTAAGTCTGATATGAAACCAGTCACTATGTTAACGTCGTAGCGCGTGGTCACGCAAACATTCGTCGAGCCGACATCAAGCATTGGCTAGACCGTCTCATTTCACAGAAATTGTATGCAGCCTACCCAGACTGGGAAGGATGTGGCCCAYRTAKTCCAGSTGGGGATGCAGCCCGGGAATTGAGACACAGCCAGTCATTATTGGGCTTGACGAGTTCAAATACTTTGTCATATTAATTTRGTTTGTCTCCAAACAGAATAAAACCCTTCCAGTCATTCATGAGATATTTTGCTAAAAGACAAACAATTACAAATTACCTCCCTTTCGTGACAGTGGGTAGTAATTATAGTTTGTTTAAAACTGCAGCACAATCCTGCAGATTATCTTCCTTAAAGCCAACTTGTAAACAGCAAAAACAAATGCATTAATTAATTACAATGAATTTAAAAAAGAACCAAATAGGTCCATTTATTTTTATTGTCTCATTGCTGCAGTTGTTTTCTTAATGCCCGCTCTTAAGGTTCTTAAGTGAAAATGAACAACCTTATATAAAATTATCCAGTGGGATGCTGCTCAACATACATTTCCTGTCTATCAATTAAAGATACAATATATATCGTTAGAATTATGAGCAGRAACTGTAAAAATGTTGACAGATTTCTGGCACAGCCATGAATTATGCAGTCGCTTTCTGAGTGTTTCAAGTGCAGAATGGAAAATGAGTTTTGACATCTCACCCACTGATGACACAACCRTTCAGTCAGCAATGTAAATCTACAGCTCTAACACTTCTCACTGTTTGTTTTATGTATGRCATGTTCCTCACCGCAGCTGTAAATATAACGACACAGGCCGTGACATTTTAAACTGTGACCAGTTTACCATTGCAGTTAAGCCCCAAATAGCTGTCTTTATGTCCGCCCCATGACATTTGAATGGCACGTCCTAAAAAAAAAAATCTTGAAACTTACTGCATGGTATTTCATCAGACTTATCCCCACAGTCGTCCTCCCGATCGCAGCTCCAGCCTCGAGGTATGCAACGTCCATTCTGGCAGGAGAACTGGTCGTCTTGACAGGGCCGGGCTGGGAAACAAGAAAAGTGGCCGCCTAATTCAATCACAGCTACATAAGTCAATGCGAGACTGCACAACAACGTCTAATGTTCTACAGATCACCAAAAATGTCAATGTCTGGCCGGCGCAAACTCTTTATCACTCAATCACACGGAGCACAGTGGGGTCTAACGGCCGTGGGAAATGTGCTGCTGCTTGATGAGCCGTCAGTCACATGCTGGTGGTCATGCACACGACAGCACACAAGCAATGTCCCGCTGATGTTGGATATGCGTGTCAATCTTCCAGTGAGAAAACATTCATCATTCACCGACTAATGCCCATTGATTGATTCTCTATGGATAAAAAGCTCCTGAGAGGCACCACTGAGGACAGGAAGTCTGTGCGATCCACTGTGGGTGTCGCTGACAGATCGTAGCGCCCCTTATAGGTGTCTCAACTCTTTGATATGACAGTTTTTGAGCCTCAATTAAAAAGGAGTAATTAAGAAAAAATAAAMGCTGCCTTGAAAACAGCCGACACGTCTAATCAAGACATAAAAAGAAGGAAAAAAATCTTAGATGAGAACAGTGGCAGATGTAGGATTTTTTCTGAGTAAGGGGCCACAATATTCATAGAGGGGCCAAGTCTTTCTTCACATCCCTTCACACAAATCTACAGTTTTGGTAAAGTGTATACATATTAWAAATATCCCCAAATATTAAAGGGATCCTTATATTAAAGTGTAAAACTGTATACTATTTTGGATGGGGTGGGATTATTTGATATGTTAACATGACATTTTTTTTTTACTTTTTTTGATACATCATCATTGTTGACAGTAGTTACATGTTTGAACAATAATTTCAAATATTAATAATCTATGCAAAGTTTTAAAAATGGTGATTTTTCACATTAAAGACTAACTTTTGGAATTTGTAAATGCTTTTCATTCATAAATAGTGTACTGTATTACACTTCATGATGTCTCTCTTTGACAATTGTGAATATTTATAATGCAGTAATACAGCGCAATATTAATATGTTAAAAAATGTGTTTCTTATTGTTATTGTGCTTACAATGTAGTAACCCAGTCTGAAATGTTTAATAAGCACCTTTTAGATGTAATATGTACGTGAACAGATTTGTCTCATTGTTTGGTAAGAAACTGGACAGTTTTGTCTTTCTCGTCCTTAATTTATGCATAATAAACATTTATAAATTATTTAAAAAAGTGTTAACAGATGAATTAATAACCTATCTATAAACTATTTATAAGCCATCTATCAGGAGAGCTTTATTGTAAAGTGGTACCAAAAAATGCTTGCACAGTAAATTCTCCTCACCAGTTCTTCATACATGTTAYWGTACTTAGATAAAATATTCTCAAACACACAACATGTGAGAAAATCCAGCCATCATTTGTCAGTTGAAAGACTTTTTGCAGGATTGTTCACATTTTCTTGAGAGAAGAAGAATTCTGTCAGCTTGATTCATTCTGGACTTTACTRTTTGACTCATTAGCGCAACTAGTGTTTGAACATGGAACTGCATCCACCATCATCACTCCCAGGTAAAGGACAGATGAGTGACAGGACAGGGGCACTTCAAGAGGCCAATCAGATTTCAGCTGGGGCCAATGCCCCTGTGGCCCTGCCCCTAGAACCGCTCTTGGATGAGAACATTAATATAAAATGACAGATAAGATTTACATCTTTCTGTATAAAAATGAGATAAATGTATGACCTTTGTATCCACAATCTACAGTATATTACCCRATGAGCTTAAATCAAATAAAACTGTCCAAGGTAACAGAGCATTATTCATCTTAAAGAAAACAACAGCAACAAAATAACCCCTCAACATTCTTTGAAACAGTCCAAGCATAAAAGCAAAATAATCAAGCCAATCGATCAACTGGTGATCAGAGGGAAAAAATAACTTTTTTCTGATGATTTTGTTCCATACCTAAACAGCTTGTAAAACAACAATCATAAACATGATGCAGTTCATACCTGAACATGTGGCGTTAGACTCATCCTCGTTGTTCCCACAGTCATTCGTTCCATCACACAGCCACCTTTTGGGGATGCAGCGGTTGTTGCTACATTTGAACTGATCAGTTGGACAGGTGTGATTGTCTGAAAGAGTTCAAACAAAAAGTCTGACTGCGAACTCATAAAATTATTAATAAAATGGGATATTTAAATGTAATTAGGAAAATTATAATGATAAAACAAAGAAAATTCATGTTTTTTGGTCACCCTGTTGTTTTATACTTGCCCTGAACATAATAGGGTCATGTTTTCTTTCCTTCTATCTTTCTTTTGTCTTTTTTTTATATTCAGCAAGAACACAATAAATAAGAACAATACTGTGAAATTGATTTAAGGCAGTCAGACAGAGTTAGAGGTCGCACAACTAGGATGACCGATTAGGGCCGCTCTTGGTAAAATATATAAATAAAAAAAAGTCTTTGTTTTACTTGTTGGAGCAAAAACTTGGTGTCAAACTGTATGCGTTTGTTCTACTTGCAGTTATTGAAAGACTATACATATATGTGTGTGTGTGCGTGTGTTAGTATAACTAAGAGCCAAACTCCTTATACTCCTTATATTCTTTAAGCATTGTAATTAGGTGTAATTAGATAATGAGCACTCAGTGTCATTTTTTCCCCCACTGCTTCTTAGTTGCTCTAAATTAATTTGCAATCTTTTGTGCACCCTTAACACAGTAAGTGGCATCCCAATTTCTACAAATGTGGTTTTGGTGTTCAGATGAAATACATCAAGATCTCCGTGTCAGATAGTGCTAAACTATGCTGAGACCAGGGTTTTGAACAAATTAGTTTTGTAATCGCCTGGTTCTCTGTCACACACATTTTTTTCCCCATCATGTCAGAATAAATTTTAGTTTAATGTTGTTTTACTTTATAGTTTTAAAGATATAAAACAAAATATGTACAATTATTTATGTCAACGTGTCGTGGTAATTAGTTTGCTCTGACAATCTATGTAGAACCCATCTAGATAAAAAAACAAAGCTATTATTGCATTTCACATTCCTGCAGTGTATGTAAATATTTGTTAAAGCAAATTGTTTGCATTTCCTATGATTATGGCAGATGATTATGTTCCGCTTTCTAAAATATAAAGAAAAAGAAAAGCTCGAACAAATCCAGTTCAAGCTATCTGTCAAAGAGTGGATCCACTTTTGCCAGAACACAAATGGAAACAGCGGCACATTTAACACCCGTACCACGGTGACATTTAGGAACACAGATGCCGACAGCAGGAGAGACAAATTTAAAAGCTTGGAGTTTTCTTGCTTGGTGTACCGATGGTGCCTGGATATGTATTGACTCATTCAGTGCATGCATGGCTGTTTTATGCAGTGCATTGCCTGCAGACTAATCAAGACCCTCACAGCAGCTGTGGCTCTCCTCATCACTTCCATCCAGACAATCATCGTCTCCGTCACACTTCCACAAGGCCCGTATGCAGCGATGATTGTGACACTGGAACTCATCACTTTTACATCGTGGTGGCTCTAAACCGGTGGTGGAAGCTTCTGGGAAATGAAAGAAAGGGAAAAAAAATGACTGTAGAAAATTCCCTACATCAAGGGATTCTTTATGAGATATGTGTTTTGGAGAAATTATTGGCACAGCGATTACAGCAGGCAAGTCAAGTTAATAATGTCCCACAACCCCACMAAATGCGAAACAACTGGGATTTGGTTCATATAACTGGAGGTCTTCCGGGATAATTTCCCACCATTATATATTTATCTATTAGCAAATGTGCGAGCAGAAAAGAAAAAAAAAAGATGCTGCTTGAACTTTATCCCATAGGATGAAGCCAGGATGAGAGTAGCAGAGGATGATCTTAGGCCTCCTGTACAGTCTGATTCATTATGTCCTCCTACCTGCACAGGTGACATTGTTCTTCTCCAAAACCTGGTTGTCAGCGCAGGCACACACTCTGCCTCCTGGGATGGCAAGGCAAAGGGTACCACAGCCTCCATAATTCACGCTGCACGCATTCTCACCTGGGGAAACAGACAGCAAACCCAGTAAGGCGAATTCTATCTAGTTTACCATTTCCAAGTTCAGTTTAAGCACAATAAGATGGTGCGGCTTTGTCTGTTTAGGGACCTTTAACCTCTTTAATCCCCTCAAAATAAATCCTTTTTTTCCAGACAAAGTTCAGTCCCTGCCTTACTTTGACCTGCCACGAATGCACCAAATGAATTATGAGGAACGCCACTAGTAAAAGCCGTTTGACWTTTTTATCATTCTTTGAGGGATAATTTGTCTTTCTAAACAAAACTGTCAGTCTTTAATAGCAAAATGGGACATATAAAGTTAAAGCGTGTGACACCTTTGTCACTTTCATTTAACACATTGCCTAAAAGTAGTGCCTGAGCCAATGAGATAAAGCGTTCAGTTTTGAGAGAGCCAATCGGTAATACTCCCAGTACCAGACAACCAATTAATCTATTCAGAGGCATAAACAATAGGGAAATGTCCAGCAAACTCTCCTAGCTGGAGTTAGTTTGCTCATGCTGCAGCTAAGAATTGACTTGGATTATGTGCTTAGTTGGCTCACAATAAACAACTTTGATGCTCTTAGATAAAAGGTTGATTGAATGTTTCGAGGTTGCAGCAAAGGTGTACAACCATAATACTTTTTTGTTAAAATTATGATTTTGTTTTCACTGTATTATCTGCTTTTACATATATTTTTTATTAAATAACACAAAAGAAAAATATCTCCTATTGGGGGCAGTGAATATATTCAGTGAGAGCCATATCCTTTCAGTCCTTTATCTGTTTTTCAGCAATATAACATGGATCGATAATAATTTATTTTTTATTATTATATTCATTTATTTATTTATTTGCAGAAGGACACTGAACAGGTTTTCAAATTCACAGTGCAGTGCACGACTGTGGTGTCACACTGGGACTGAGACGCACCTGGCATCGCCCCCGTTGATGACAGAAGCAGACTTATCAATAAAGGAGTAAGAAAACTATTCATTCATTCCTTCCACACTTATTTGCCCTGGCTCCCATCGTGGCGCAGGGAGTTGACTAAATGGTTTTGTTGTTAATTTTTAAAACCCTTCATTATTTAGCTCCACATTTCTTCAATCATATATGAAGTTTTTTTTTATTAGATCTGTTAAGTCTGTGGCTTCAAGCTATTTTATTTTATTTTATTTTTTTCCTAGAATGGAAAAGTGTCTGCTCTACTGTTTAATCATGTATGTTGTTTTCTGAATAAATAAATCTGCTGTTTTACAGCATTGTAGGTGCTCACTCAATACATAAGCATCCCTTTTTTTGGAAGCCTTCTAGGCACATAAACAACAGTTATTGTACTTCATCCTCTGGTGGACTTATTTAACACATATGTGATTTTTTTTGTTAAATTGTGTAAATTTAGATTAGCATTGTTCATATTGTGAGATGTTTGAACACCACCTTTTATATCATGGCAATCTCAGGCTCTAAACTATCATTATTACTTCTATTTCTTGACTCGTTTCCAGAATCAATCAAGCTTTATCGCATCAACTTCTCTGCACACTTATACAGTTTTTAATAAAAGTATACAASAGGGCTWTTCAAGTGGCRGCCYGTGGGCCACATCCGGCCCGCAAGTTACCAAAGTTCGGCCCGCCAATTGGTTCATTCATCTCTTAAGCCCAAACCCCTGGTTTTCTACTTTGATTACTATAAGATCTTTTAGTTAAACATAGAAATGTTTGGTATGTACAGAAACGTCAGAATCTCGGCTAGAAACTGATAAAACCATTACATGATCACTTAGACAGTTAAAATTACAAGCAGTTGAAGATAAAAACTATGAAAATAAAATTGGTTAAAAAATTTGGCATGTCAGAGGTGTCAAAATAATATTTGTGTTAAAGGAGGCATAATGTGTTCTTTTTTATTTTGATATTGTTTTAATTTTCACTACTTTTATAGGGTTCTGTGTGTTATATTCATGATTAAATACAGCAAAATAATTTCAAAGGTAACAGATCTTTGTAATACTTGGTTTATTTATWTAATGACTTTACTGCTGGATGTTCGGCCCCTGAGCTGTTGACCTGCAGTAACTGTGGCCCCCGGAGCAGTTTAGTTAAATAGCCCTGGTATACAATTTCTATTCTCATCATCATCAAGCTTAAAGTTAGGCTCTCTTTATTTGTTTCTAGGTGTTTCTATTTGATAATTTTTAATAGTTGCCCCTAAGTTCCATTGCAATCAATATCTTCTCAGCCGCGATGGTTTTATCAAAAATTTTCAAAAAAGGAAAGAAAAGCTGAAAAGCGTATCTTTTGTTTAAAAAATCCCTTTGATGTCAAACCCATTTAGTTTTAGCGTACAATGAAAATAAAGAAATTCGACTCACTGTTCTAATCGTTGCAGAAGGGACTGTACATGCACATACTGATTTCGATGCAAAGAGGCAATGAAACACTTTCTCAAATCGGTGTATTTTAAGTACAATGGAGGGTATCAGTACATTATAATCTGACAGCAGGAGTTCCTGACAGTGTTACAAAGAGTGAGGCTGAGCTTGCAGAACCCTGTACATCTTGCTCAACCGATGYATTTGGCTTCATAAAGTATGGAACTCAAAGTGATCTGAAAGTCACTGTCAATGCTCGTTAAACCTCCCCCCCACCCACCCGCCTACCCCCATGAAATGCGAGACAAGCTGGCTCTTCTCTAACTAAAATGTGTGTAGGAGACAGAGAGGTCCTATTTCCAGTGCAAAACAGCCACTTTCTCTGTTAAGGAAGTGATTCACGATCCAGCAGCACTGGAAACCCAATAAACGAAGGGAAAGCAGCCTACCTTGCTGACTCTGTGCATCGTAGACCCGCAGGCCGAACAGAGGGGGTCTCTCGCTCCGCAGCAGAGTGACATCGCCCGTGGACAAGTCCAGCTGGAATACAGAAGCGTTCATGTACTCCGTCCAAAAGATGAAATTACGATAATGAGAGATTCCGAAAGGATGGTTCAGCTCTTTTCCTTTGTACACCACCTGCAGCACGAGACAACATGCGATGCAACCAAAGGATTAGGAGAGATGCAGAGGGATATCAGCAACAGAAAAAAAAATTAATCAATCATCTCGACGACTGTAACTGTTTGAATATGGGTTTAGAGATTATTCAGGGCAAGATGAATGCTTTTTAATTTCTCTGCACAAATGTATCTAGGCAGAACAGTCTGCTTGTAATAATGTTTGATAGAATCTTGGCATTGACTGAGAGATCATTTACAAATAATTCATTACCATTAATGTCCCAGTTTAACTGCAGTCAACGGGAGCAGCTAAAGAAGAAAGAGTGTTCTGTTGGCAGCTGTTTAGGAGGTTGAGAGTTTATTTTTTTTCTCTCTTTGAAGATTAACACTATCTCTACTAAAGTGTTGAAAGCAAGCTTGGGCCCTAATAACCATTTTAAGTCACTGATTATATGTGCAAGATTGATGTTTTCCATAACCCAGTTATTAACTTTGTAATTAATAAACATCAAACATCTTTTTGACTCAGAAAAATGAAAACAAAAAAAAAGCATTACAGCATTTTGGACAAATGTGAAAATATACCATTCTTCCTGTTCCRTTCAGATGAATCTTCTCAATGTGATCATAGTAGGCATCACACCAGAACATGGTACTGCTGCTGTGGTCCAGTGTCAGGCCGTTGGGCCACAGCATGTTGGAGGTGACGAAAATGCGCCGATTGGATCCATCCATCCAGGCCTTTTCTATCCGCCCTATGCTGTCGTTGACCTCATCCTCTTCCCAGTCTGTCCAGTACATCCAGCTGTCACACAGAGAGGTGGACACATCCAGTACGAGAGGTTATTACACTAATATAGAAACACGAGTCATCACTTTCAATTCAACGTGTCATGCAGGAGGCATCGTTGGCTTTCACCCTCGACACTGATCATCTTATATTCAAAGTCCGACAGGTATTTTTTGCCTCTCATTCGTCTCTGACACGCTGATATAAAATAGCTGTGCTTGCTGCTGCCTCCGCCTGCCTCCTCTCTGCTTTTATTTCTTATCAATCAATACAGATGTGACAGCACACCTTTTTCCTAGCTTCTGTCAACATAATCTGTTTTATGTCAGTATGAAATGTGACTTCTGGCTTTTGCTATGCCCATGGAAAACACATGAGGATTTCACTTTGCTGTAAAATTCATAGAGAACACATCATGCAGTTAAAAGYAACCTTTTAAATAGTTCTCCATTTAGTTGCCTGCCTTTAAAATTGTAGGAAAAAGAGCAAACCTTAAAACGTTGCACTGTACAATGAGCACGCTGAGACTACAAGTTTGAATTAGCCAGAGGTATATGAAACATGACTACATCAATAATTTGATGAGATCTACTCTGTAGTAACCATTCCCAGGAGATTAGCTTTTTTTAAGAGTWGCTGGCTGAGCCACGTGCTCGCTGTTTCCCATCATGGTTGAGGGCTCGCTCAGGAAAGATGAAACAAAAAGGGATATAGAGGTGAACGAAGACTTGCTGTCTCTGAGTCGTCAGAATGACCTCATGAATTATTAATGCAACACACATATACATACTGCCTGCACACAGACAGAAGGAGAAACTACAACCAAAAACCAATGCAGATTTAATATTTATTTTATCTGTATACAGTACTTTTAATTCCTGACAATTTATTTTCTTCTACCATTATTTAACCAGGAAAATCCCATTGAGATATCCAATTTTTTTTTGCAAGAGCAGCCTGGGCCTGAAGGCAACATATTGTGCATATTTTTGGGGTGACAATAATTCATATTTAATCATTTCAAATGAACCTGAAAATACTCGAGTCAGTTTTTTTTCTTTTCTTTTTCATTTTATTAAAGCAAACACAAAAATAAAATAGATATTGGTCAATACATATTCATTGCCCTAATTTCTATTTTTAAATTACCATCTGCCAAGAGAGAYGTGCTCACACATAAAACAAAACCAAACACAACAAAAGAGATGCTTAGACGTGCACTTTAAATATATGGTTTTCACAAAGATTCCATAAAACCAGTAGATAATCAAAAATCCATCTTTTTTTGCATGCTGTGTCTTACAGAGAGCAACAAAAACAGTTAACTGTTTAAGTCAGCAGCTCCTTCAAATAAACACCTAAAATGAACACATGTGCAACACGAATAAGGTAATTCATATCTATCAAAAATGAGAAGAAAACAATTAAAGCAAAGCCCAATGTCTAGCATCAAGCCTAGATGGTAAAACATAAATTTGCAAAACACTTCAACTGAGGTTTCTGTTAAACAGTTGCTTTGCTGAATTCAGAAAAGGTGACGTAAAAGTGACAATTTGTGAAGCAGAAAAGTTCAGTGATACAACTGTCACCACAAAGTGTCCTGATGCATCTCARTAATCCAGGTAAAAAATCAAAAGGAAAAAAAATTGTATAGGTCTTCTGGACGGGTTCTTCTTTAATGAAACGTTCCATCTCTTTTCCAAGAGACTTCTTCAGTCTGAGAGTTTCAGGCAAAATTCAGGCTTTTGAGTCCTGCCTCTATGTGACTGATACTCACATCACATGGCTATCGTTCACACCTAATTAATACCTATTGTTAACAGGGCGTGGAGTGATACTGCCAATGGCAGCGCTGTAGGAGGGGGACAACTGAAAACGGAGGCCCCCACCTCTGTTTAATGATGGACAGTCTTTCTTCACAAAAAHGGCTTCTTTTACTCCTCTCTCAAACCAACRTTCCTCTCKATCAAGAATGAGAACATCCTCATCTCTGAAAGAGTGACCGCTGGCCTGTAAATGTGTGAAAACTGCAGTATGTTGCGGGTGTTTCAGAGAAACTGAGACGTTTATTTTCTAAACATGATGTCCCAGTAGCTTTCAAACCCCAAAACACATTACGGCAAAGGCTGGTTCACCCCAAAGATCCGGTGTCCCGGCACAAACAGAGCAATATTGTATATGCTGTTAAGTGCCAGGAGGACTGCGACCAGTTATACATCGGGGAAACAAAGCAACCACTGTTCAAAAGAATGTCCCAAYACAGACGAGCTAMWTCTAATGGCCAGAACTCTGCAGTTTTCACTCATTTACAGGCCAGCGGTCACTCTTTCAGAGATGAGGATGTTCTCATTCTTGATAGAGAGGAACGTTGGTTTGAGAGAGGAGTAAAAGAAGCCATTTTTGTGAAGAAAGACCGTCCATCATTTAACAGAGGTGGGGGCCTCCGTTTTCAGTTGTCCCCCTCATACAGCGCTGCCATTGGCAATATCACTCCACCCCCTGTTAACAATAGGTATTAATTAGGTGTGAATGATAGCCATGTGATGTGAGTATCAGTCACCTGTGAACGATAGCCATGTGATGTGAGTATCAGTCACCTGTGAATGATAGCCATGTGATGTGAGTATCAGTCACCTGGAGGCAGGACTCAAAAGCCTGAATTTTGCCTGAAACTCTCAGACTGAAGAAGTCTCTTGGAAGAGAGACGAAATGTTTCATTAAAGAAGAAACCGTCCAGAGGACCTATACAATTTTTTCCTTTTGTCACCACAAAGGTGATAATGATTGTAAAATTTTAGCTTTTTTATTTATAATGTATTTATTTAAAGTGTGTGAATATCACTGTACTTTCATGTCCAGGTTACAACTCTCTTAACAAGTAAAAAAAAACATTAAGGCTAATAGAGTATTTACAACTTGAAAGTATTAAAAATGTTGGAGACAAAATGAAAAGGAGTACAAAGAATAAGTTTGGGTTGTGGTTGGATACATGCGCCTAGAAAAAGCTATGTATAGCAAAATGTTTGGAACAATCCCTCGAGGCTTGAAAACTAATCTCTGACTGCTATGGATTTGGTGGGTGGTAATACGATTTAAGCCTTAAAGTGTTAATCCTTAAGATCCTTAAGACACTCATCGAATTGGAGTTTTGCAGAATCAAGTATATATGTTAATTATCCCTTCTGCTGGCAGATACAACCAGAGATGTATTTAGGCTGAGTTTTTGAAAATATGATCTAAGAGTTGTATAGTCCAATCAATTAAATAGGTTATTGTGGTTAATTAGATCAGAGATATGGAAGAAGCTTTTTTATTCGTGAGCAGTGGCCTTTGAATGTGTTTCATTAACAGCAGGTGTTGTCTGTTTATTTAATATGTAAATTTTTGGAATACATTTACAGTAACCTTTGATATGATCATAGGTCACAGCAGAGCTTTAATAAAACTGATAATTTTCAAGAATAACCTTTGAGGTAATGACACTGCAATGTACAAAAAAGAGAGAGAGATGTGTTTAAATTATTCATAACACACAAAAGTGATGAAAGCAGATATTGTTAAAATTTCTTTGCAAACCATCAAATGGCACTACAACACACTATTTATTATTATTATTATTATTATTA